GCACTGGCGGTGGTGGTGGCGCGGCCGGGATCAGCGCCGGGGGGTGGTGGTGGTGCTGGCGGGAATGCCGGTGCGTCGCTGGAGGTGCGGTGGGGGGTGTTGCTGTTGGCGTTGCTGCTTGTCGTCTTGGTGTAGGCGCTTGGAGGCTGGGCACAAGGTTGCATTGATGGCATGGCAGGGCGGGGCATGGCGAGCGTGGGACATTGTCATCTAGCTTTCTGATGGTTGGGCTTGATACCCCTTGGCGTTAATGATTGATCCGGCAGTGAAGGTCTCGGCATGTGATGGCTGTTGGCGATGATTGAGCGAAGTAACCAGTAACGAACCATGCCTTTGCCTGTGCCAGCGCCCAGGTCGTGTGACATGAGACTTGAATGACCAAGTTTATATATATATACTTCATCCACGTCAATGGGCACAACTCGAGGCCCCTCTCAACTATAGGTATGCCTAGGCGGCCGTAGTAACACCACCCACTTTTCTTTGTCCATAGCACTCACGATGCCACACCAATCCAATCCACCTTATTGCAGCATTCACTCACATCACCAACCGCCCTGCCTCCAACAGGCGCCGCGCCCTGTCGATCAGGCCCCTGGCCAGCGGCATACATGCACCTCGCTGAAGCGCCCAGACGGAGACACCTCACCTCCTACTCATAGGTGGCCGACAGAAAACCCCTGCTCGATACTCCAGGGGCCGTGCCGCCCCCAAGCACCAACCGACTCAAGGACCCTGCACCAGCACCAACAGTAGTGGAAGCTGGGGCCGAAAGTCTTGGCTCGTCACATAAAAAAGGAACACGATACCCCCAGGAACCGATGCTCAGCTCGCGGCGATGGATAGATACACTCGTGATACTGCGCTGGAATTTGCGGCGTCACCATGTTAGCACCGAGTCGCAGCACCCGTCAAGCGCGGCACGTCGTCTTGACGGTCACTGTTTTTGTCCTCCTCTACCTCTTCCTCCTACGCAGCCCCTCGGTCGAGAACGAGGCGGCCTTCCTGCGGCATCACATGAACGCCGACCCGCCAGAGCACACTCTCGTCAAGAGCTCCTTCGACTGGTCCTCGGTCCAGTTCGCCCATGTGCCGCCACCCCTCGACCCGCCGGCGCCGCCGCTGGCGACGCGCCGCTCGGCCAACATGCCGCGCATCCAGCACGTCTTCACCGACGACGACGACGAGACGCACGCCGCCGCCCGCCTCCGCGAGAGCCGGCGGCGCAAGGTCCGCGACGTCTTCGCGCGCGACTGGCAGAGCTACCGCGCGCACGCCTGGCTCCAGGACGACCTCAACCCCGTGTCGGGCACGGGCAAGGACCAGTTCTCCGGGTGGGCGGCGACGCTCGTCGATGCGCTCGACACGCTCTGGATCATGGGGCTGCGGGTCGAGTTTGACGAGGCCGTCGACGCCGTGGGCCGCATCGACTTTGGCGCCTCGACCCACGGCCGCGTCAACATGTTCGAGACGACGATCCGCTACCTCGGCGGCCTGCTCGCGGCCCACGACCTCTCGGGCCGCCCCGTGCTGCTGGCCAAGGCCGTCGAGCTCGGCGACCTGCTGCTCGCCGGCTTCAACACGCCCGACGGCCTGCCCGTGGACTTTCTCGCCTTTGCGCGCGCCAAGACGGGCGAGGGCCTCGCCGTCGAGCCGTGGGTCGTCGCCGCGTCGCCCGGCACCCTCAGCCTCGAGATGACGCGCCTGTCGCAGGTCACGGGCGACGCGCGCTACCACGAGGCCGTGACGCGCGTCATGCGCCTGTTCGAGGCCCAGCAGAGGAAGACGCGGCTGCCGGGCCTCTGGCCCATGTGGGTGTCCATGGCGCACAAGGACGTCAGCGCGCGGGACGAGTTCACGCTCGGCGGCAACGGCGACTCGCTGTTCGAGTACCTGCCCAAGATGCACGCGCTGCTCGGCGCCGACGAGGCCATGTACGCCGGCATGACGCGGCGGTTCGTCCAGGCGGCCGACGACGCGCTCTTCTTCCGCCCCATGGTGCCGGACCAGGCCGACATTCTCATCGCGGCCGCCGCGCGCGTCAGTCCCGACGGCGCCGTGACGCGGGGCACCGAGAGCGAGCACCTCGCCTGCTTCCTCGGCGGCACCTTCGCCCTCGCCGGACGCCTGCTGCGGATGCCGGCGGCCGTCGAGACGGGGGTGCGGCTCGCGCGCGGGTGCGCCTACGCCTACGGCGCCTTCGCGTCGGGCATCATGCCGGAGCGCTTCGACATGGTGCCGTGCCCGACGCGGGCCGCGTGCGCGTGGGACGAGGCGCTGTGGGCGGACGCGGCGCGGCGCGACGCCGGCACCCCGACGGCGTGGAAGGGCGAGCTGCCGCGCGGGTTCACGACGGCCAAGGACCCGCGCTACATCCTCCGGCCCGAGGCCATCGAGAGCGTCTTCGTCAGCTACCGCGTCACCGGCGACGCGGCGCTGCAGGACACGGCGTGGGCCATGTTCGAGGCCGTCGCCAACGGGCCGGCCGCCGCCTTCGGCCACGGGTCTGTCAAGGACGTCACGGTGCCGCAGGGCGAGCTGGTGCGGGAGGATTACATGGAGGTGAGCGCCCCCCCCCCCCCCCCCGGACCTGTTCGTGCCGAACGGTGTGAATGTGCGAGTGGACTGACGATGCGAAAACAGAGCTTTTGGCTGGCTGAGACGCTCAAGTACTTCTACCTCGTCTTCTCGCCGCCCAATGTTATCAGCTTGGATGAGTTTGTGCTCAACACCGAGGCCCACCCTTTGCGAATGCCGAGCTGAAGGGTTGGCTCGATTTGACTTTGCCCTGACTGAACACACTACATGGACATCAGGAACGACGGCCTGTGCTGCTGTATTGGGCAACCGGGGTGGACTCGATGCTATGGATCGAAGATACGGCAGTGGAGACGAATACGTGATCGTCGCTCGGCCCGCTGTCCGCCTGCTGTCCGCGCCGCTGATCCGGGGGATGCTGTGCGGATCAACTTGGGTAGTCTTGGAGCTTGGATCGAGTCTCGGTCACAAGCGAGGCTTTGTCCACGATGGGACCTCGCATCTACAGGGGAGGAATAGAAACTTGGTCGTCCTGGAAAGGACGCAGATACGTTCGTCGGCAGCAGAACGTTGCCATCCCACGACAAATACCTGTGGCCGACTACCACATTATACTATCGACCTATCATACTTCTGACATGAAAGATTAATTACAAGGCAGCTCCACAAATGCTACTGGTTACCACACAAGCATTGCACAGCAGCACTGGGATTCGTCCCTTAATGAAATTCGTTCTCGCTTGAAGGCTTCTTATTTTCTAGTCTCTTTTGTGTAACTTACCCTAGTCGTTATACTTACGACGTCAATGTAACAAGGCGCCTCCCATGACAGTTGTCAGTATGAACTGGTCCAGGCACCGTCTCGTTCCATCCCTGTCCAGCATAGAGCTTCGGCCCCGGCAAAGGCCATGCTGTTTCCAGTGTAGGCTCATGCAATGAGTATGCGTACAACTGCTCGTCTTGCCTGCTGTACAGGGCCTGGGCGCTGACACCTCGTCCGGCGAGAGTATCGCGCCCATCACCCACAACTTGAACGTTGCCACACTGTGGGTAAAACTCCGGCTCGCCAAGATGCGATCGATGCAGCGCGATCATCTCCGAGCGCACCACGTAGTTTCCCGGCGCAATGTCTGGCGGCACCACCGCTTCCATGACGCCGCCGTTGGCGCGCAGCACGTCCGACGCCCAGAGGCCTTCTGCGTTGGCCGGGCCTGAGACGAGGCCGCTTTCCTGGATCTTGGTCCACCGCAGCGTGCTTTTGTCGACCTCGGCGCAGCTACCGTGGCAGGGAGCTAGGTACGTCAGCGTCGGGCCCGAGTGCGCCCACCCTTCGGGGCTGAGGACGGGGTCGGCTGATGTCCAGTGGATGAGCATGGTAGAGCCTGCGGTGACGGTGCCGTGGTTCGCGGCAGGGGTGGCGCCGCGGCGGCAGATCATGTCTGGGCTTGTAGGGTCGAGCTCCGGCCCTTCGTCTGGTGTCGTAAAGGGCCAGCCGATCGCCGAGGGGGAGGGGTCCGGATTCCAGTTGCGGAAGCCCTCGTGGTCTGTGCCGTCGAGGGTGAAGGTCTTGATGTAGCCGTGGGCCGCGGCCTGGCTGGTGAGGAATAGAAGGAGGGCAACTCGGACCATATTGGATCTGCTTCCAGGGTGAGAAGCTGACGTTTCTTGCGTCTGTCAAGGTGAATGGATGTATGCGATTGTGTCTGTTAGTGACGGATTGGGAAACCATCGTGGTGGCCAACGCATATATACCCAGACTCGGCATTCGCCCACAATTGTGTTGTATCAGAGTGTCACTCGTGATGTAAGATGATTCTGTTGGTATCTGACAACGCATACACTTGGCCGGTGTATCCTCCGTCCTTGGCCGTTGTCCGAGACTTTCACAAGAATAAGAGGGTTGTGCTTGGGGAAGGGCCAAAACCCGAACAACAATCCTTTATTCACCCATTTTCTTTGCCCATGAATGACGAAGTCTATTGTTCAGAACCCAACGTGTGGATGAATTCTACGGCGGTTCTGACGGCATCCAGTCTACCACTGAATTATGGCAGGTGCAATGTCCGTCATACAGTACCCGAGCTCAGGGTTCGCTGAGTCTTTCCACACCAGCGTCCTCGGGGCCTGAATAACCGAGGATTATGAGTTCAAAAGCATATATCATGAGATTCGAAAGCTAGTGCAGGCTCCTGGAACAGTTGCAGATATACCAGCAGCTCAATACATGTGATCTCGTCGATGAGTACGACATGTGCAACTCAGCAATTTTTCTCCTACTCACGATGAGGGAGACCAGTCCGCTCCTCAGGTCAGTCCGGTCTGTGAGAGGAATAGATAGGCATTATATGTTTGGTGTGGTCGATCGCAGCATGCTGGTTTCTACTGGGCCTCTTGCCAGGCATGAGTTTGACGGCAAACCGACCACACAGTTGGTTGCTCGCCGAGCGAAGGATTTCCAATCTTTCGAGGACTCTCATGCTATATTCAATACAAAAAGCAGCCACCATCCTATTGCCTCTGATCCAGCCTTCAAGTTGCCAATTTGTCCTCTGGTGACACCAGAAACCTGATTCGGCTCAACATCGCAAGAAAGGTCGGGAACTGCTCCCCTCAGCAAATGAGTCGTGACACTGCAGTGTTACGGGGAACTGTACTAAAGTAGACGACAAGGCCGAATTAAGCTGCACGCCCCCCAGAAAGGATGTTATACCCTGCACTTCTATGGCGCAGTGGTGGTCGGAGGTGCCAGGAATAGCTTATCCAGCTGAGCACCTGGAAATAAACCCCCACTCTTCAGCAGATCGAATCTCAAAAGAAAAATCCTGAACCGTCCCGGCCGCCAGTCCCGTCTCTGTGCCGTGTATCGTGCGGGTAGGTCGGTAGATGGTGACAGAGTAGCGCGCGGCCCCCAACAGGCCAAGCGACCAGGCTGTGAGCGCCAAATGAAGCTTTATGATTCGCCGACCAGAGCCAACCGCATAACACGAAACAAGCTCGAAGGCGAGTCTCCATCTCTTCCTGAGTCTAGACTTCAGGACCCTCGTCGGCCGTGGTAAGGTGGGCGCAGGCCATTCGAGGTCGTTCTGATCCGTCCTGGTAAATGTATGCCGATCCTCTCATGGCATCCAAAGACGAGACGCGGAGCCAAACAATCCTTTTCATCATTTCATCAATGCAACAATTTTTTCTTTTGTCGTCGAGCTTTGAGCCGTCTGCGCCATGTACTCGCCCATCTCTGGCGCTGAATCCAACGAATATGAGCTCCGGGCACCAGGTGTAGTACCAAGACAGGTGGTTTCCGCGCCGAAGCAGGCTGGACTGCTGGCAAAGTGGTCTGTCTTTGGCACCTTGCTGATCACAACGACACTGAGTTCTGTTCTTGTCGTCGCCCACGTCCAGAGCTGGCTCATCAACGATACTTGGTACGAATTCTGGTTCCTTTCAATACGAATCAACAGAGCCGCTCTGCAGTCCGGTATCCAGATCATCGCCGTTCTCCTGGGTCTCATCCATGCCTCGGCCGTGGCGTACCTCGTTCAGTATGGCGTCAGTCTCGCCTTCTTCAGCGGCACGAGCTTCACGACGCACAGCCTGCGGGCCATGATCAACACGAGTACACAGAGAGTCAACTGGAAGGGTCCTCCGCGCTATATGCTTCCGGTTCTCGGCATGTCTGTTCTCAGCCTCATCTCTTCGGCCGTCTGGGTCGGCGCCATCACTCCCGTGGAGAGCAGTACCATCGTCAAACAGACCGTCCTTCTCCCTTCCTACGACAACATCACCCACATTAAGGAATACCCTTCCGAGATCAATCAGTCGGGTCCCTCAGACATGGCCAAAGAGGGCCACTTCACCTACTCCGTCGGTACCAAGCTCCTCGGCAACCTCATTGTCATTGGGTCATCTGCCACCACGCCCGACAACTCGACTCGGCGGCACCCCAAGATTGACAACACCCAGTACATCTACGAAGGCCGCTCCTACGGCGTCGGCTCGGCCGTTGGTCTCAAGGACTCGGCCGTCTCCAACATCTCCTTCGCCACAGGCTACCGATACACCGAGCGCGGCTACAGCGCCGACGTCGAGTGCATCTACAACAGGAGCACGGCTCTCAGGATCGGCCGCGAGTTTCCCAGTCGCATCTTCGCCGTCGAGGGCTACCTGCCAGACAGCACCGGCTCGCGCCAGTATTCTGAGTACGTCGGCCACAGCCCCGACGCCATCGTCGCCGCCTCGGTCACCTACAGCGACGACTCGATTCGGCGGTACGTCGGCATCGCCGCCGGCGAGAGCTACCGCGCCCTCAACGCGACGCAGTGCACCGTCGACTTCACGCCGCGCCTCTTCAACGTCTCGGTGGCGCTCGCGGGCCGCAACATCACCGTCACGCCTCTGGACGAGACTGACGACTTTGACCCGCAGCGCAACATCACGCGCACCGTCGTGCGCCAGTTTGAGCTCATCTCGAACGACCTGACTAACTTTTACGAGTCAGTCCTCGGCAACGCGTTCCTCTCGAGCATCCGGGCGTGGAACATCTCGTACAACGCCAATGGCGCGGCGACGGAGGAGTTTGCCACGCTGAGGGGGCTCGAGAACTCCATGACTGCCATGGCGGATTCCATGCTGGCGGCCTACGGCGCGGCGCAGGTCATGGTTGGGAATTTCACCGAGGAGCGAGAGGTCGACGTCACCGTGGAGACGCTCGTCATCGGACAGAGGGCCTACATCATTGCCATTGCCATTTTGAATGCCTTGATCGTCGCTGCTGTCATTGAAGAGGCCATCAGGACGAAGGGGTGGAGAGGCCTATCCTCGCAAGACTTTACAGATTCGGAGTGGCTTTTGCTGTCGGGATACCGGGGCGGACAGGAAGCGGCCGAAAGTGAGAGGCATCGACTGCAGTATTTGAACAACATCCAACGCAAGCCAGTGAGCAAGCCGGGATTTTCCACATCGCAGTTCTCCCCGGGCGAGGTTCGTGTTGGCATGGGCCTTGAGACGCGGGTGGTCATGGTACCGGCAACTCGTGGTAGGGACGGTCGGATGGCGGTGAAGCTGAGCACGCGGGTCAAGGAATGAGGATAGATCTTCCATGAAAGCTAATGATGAGTTTGCGAGGAATATGCTCGTGAGCGCTTATCGAGTACTCACAACGCAGGCCGCGTATTGGTTCGACTGCTGCTTGAACGCATTGACTTGTCTTCTTGCCCGCCGATCCTATATGTGAAAACCCTCTTGGGTAAATTACCACTAAGATGACTCCCGGATAATCTTGCGAACGACTTCGAGGGTCCTAACTGGAGCATCCGCTTTGATTATGTTCACGAGGTTGTCGATCTCTCGACGGCTCATGGCTCACGAGGGCCCTTCTCAAGCACGAGCAGACTTTGTTCCAGCTGCTCACTGCTGATAGCCCCTACCAACATTTCGTCGCCCTGGCTTCCATCACGAGCAGAATGACACTTCTGCCACCAGTAAGCCAAATCAAATCTGCTAACTCCTGGGCCAGCCACGAGTTTAGTAGACTCTGTAGCTTTTTCTACAAATCCTGATGCATCCTTCAATCAGAGTTGTCGGGTCTTAGCTTGCCTTGGCCGCCGCGATGGCTCCGGCGCCTTGGCTGGTAGGCCATCGTCGATGGGTGAGTAAGCCTGAATCGAGATGCCGAGTTCTCGCAACGGAGGGAAGAAAATGGTTTCGTTGCCACAAACAGCGATGCCGTAGCTTCCCGAGAACTTAGTAGAACGACGAATCCCTTGGACTTGATATTATTGTGCCGCTTGATGGTAGGCTCTTTGGCGAGATATGAGAGCCCGACTTTTTCGAACTTGCACTGCTCATAAAGAATCCGGATTACTTCCATCTGCTTAGCAGGAAAGACCGTTCCATCCAGCAAACAGCAGGTGAAAGCTGAAATGAGCCTTCGCAGAACATTCCACCTCGATATCTATAAGCTTCTAAATGCTCCTTAGACCGGAAAGTTAACAGCCCCCACGTATGTAACATCGAAGAATGTCCCAGTCAGCTTGGCTGTTGGGGACGCATACCTGGGCTCCCGCTCGGAGGATGAAGTAACACAGGACAAGATCCTTGTGATGCGCAAGTACAATGTCAGCGTATTTGATAATGCCAAGAGCTATGTACGTTCAAATTTAACGGGCGTTTTCTGTTAGCTACCCATGTTGTTGCTTGCGTACTATTCTAGCAAACGCCGATCTTCCAAGGAAAATGGCGGATTGAAACATCTCTAGGATATGAGGACCTTGGTGCCACATTTAAGATTTACGCCAAGATGCCTCCAGGCGTAATTGATGGAACTAGAAAGAAAGAAATGATTCCGAGGTGTTCGGAGCAGAGCTTGGCTGCTTTGAATGTGGACAAGGTAAGCAGGACATCAAGCTGGTTGAAGATGGAGTCTGTCATTGTCAGATGAGATTCCGACACCCACTGTGACGCTAGATCCGTCATCTTCTGTGGTACGATTCGGTGCCTTCACTAGCGACTCTAAGAAGCTTTGAGTGGCCGGATGTCACATTTTCCCATCGGTCTGAACGACACTTCATAGCCTTTTCTTGTCTTAGGTCACACTTGAAGGTAGGGAGAGCACTTGAAGAGGTCTTATGTTCCCAGTATACATACATTTACATTTGTGGATGCGCAAACATTGTAACCAGAGGGCTTGGTCTACTCACACTGGTATCTTATGGCCATCAATCTACTATGGTGCCGTTGCAAAGGACCCCTTTACTCTATTCCTGACCTCGCTCTCGTGTTCCACCGTAAAGATGCCTCATTTGGTATCATCATAGTCTAGTGACTTTCCTCTGCTTCAAAGTTGATGCTTACACGCCAAATGGGCCCTAGACAGACCCTAGAGTCGTATTCGACTCGCCTGGAACAATCTATTGATAGAGGCTGCGTTCGTCTGCCGACGGTTCTCACGATAGTTAATGGCCTATTCCAGTCTCTCCCTGCGTCAGTGTGTATAGCGAGGGCCTTCTGCAAGTTGTATGAGCTTTTGAAATTGTCTGCCACTTCGGTCAGGAGTTCAGAAATGGCATCGGTCTCGAAATCTTGTTCCCACGCTGGACGCTCGAGGAGAAGGTAGGAAAAGTCCTCATCGTTTGTAGGCGAAGACCGAATGCTCCAGATAACCACGAGATAGAACACCGCGGGAAGCCTGACGTACTCATCACCCAGCGATCCAGCGTCGCTGAAGTCCGCGGGCGACACATGAAAACGGCACGCCGTCCACTGCTTTCCGAGCATGCCCACGGGCGCCATGAAAAGATTCCGCTCGGCGTCAAAGTGATTAGAGGGCCACCTGTTGTAGACGTACGCCATGACGCCTGGGCACGCGATGGGCTCGATGTGCAGCACTGCCATGCAGGAGGCAGCTCGTTGGAACAATGGAAGGAGGGTCTGGCTCTGGCGTATGGAGGTAAAGGCTGGCAAGGATACAATCAGGTAGATGGTCTGTCTTTTTTCAAAGGCAGGCTTCTCCACATAGTCGACTTTGTTGAACGTGTTGGGACGAGACGGATCTCTGGCGAAGATGTCGCGGCCCCATTTCTGCAGCGGAACCACAATCTCGACGGCGTTCTGCAGGCCAGAGTAGCAGCCAAGACGCAAGATGTACGATGTGCGGGTTTCGCCAGCCACGGGCGAGACTGTTGTGTAGACCAAGTCCCTGGACGTCTCTAGCCGGATACCCTTGTTGGTCATGACAAATTCGGGCTCCATCATCCCAAACGTGTCCCTCCTTGACATGGAGTTGCAGGAAGCAAAGTCCGCGGGGCTCTCGGCGAGACAGCCCCGCGCGACGTCGACCTCGCGACGAGCGACCGGGCACGAAGGAGACCAAGTAAAAATGCTGAGATCATTCGTCTTTTGGATAATATGCTCCTGCAACCGCAGAAACGCGTTGTCTTCCTCGCCGTACAGGAGCGGCATGTTGACGCCGAAGAGCCCGAGAAGACAGTAGGCCACGTCCTCCTTACGCGTCGTCGTCCGGCGGGCTGCCCACGACATCTTCTCCGCAACGCAAATGACCCCCAGCGGTGTGCGACCGTCCAGAACACGGGAGTCGATGCTGGTGACATCTTCCAGCTGACGTCTGAGTCGTAGCTTGGTCCCGATGGTGCGCCAGGCGTTGTCGTAGAACCGGACATCTTTGGGGGCGATGAGCTCTTGCAGCGTCCATCCTCGCGTGAACCAGCGACAGCGTTTCCACGTGTCAATCTGGCCGTCGTATGCCGCGGGAAAGGATGATAAGTCTTCGAGGTACACGTAGCAGACGTGGGCGCGATGATACCACATGAACATGGAGTTGATGGCCTCCGTAAGCTCGGCGCTACTGGATTTGTCGATGCAGCACGTGTCGACCCAGACGTACTGGAGGCCTTCGGCGGCGGCAATCTCGCAGCTCTTCAGGATCTTGGCAAGGCCTGCGGAGGTGATGGGGCTCGCGTTGCGCTCCAGCCACTGCCTGAACGTGACTTCGCTGCCATCTTCCGTGCCCCAGGTGTGAGAAAGAATGGCGTAGGGTGGGATTCCGCTGAAAAATTCCTTGAATTCAAAGGTTGTTGTGTTGATAAGCCGCATGTTTCTCGTTCACCATGAGGCCACTCTGTACGATAGGGCAGTCATCGAATGTGGAGCGGTACCCTAGGATGTGCTATGTAGCTGTGCAGGGTGGACGTTGGGATGAAGCTGTCAGCTACGCCATGGGGCACCTTCTCTCACGATGGAGACAGCAGAAAGAGGGGTCATGCTGGGTTGGCGCTGGGTTGTGCATATGCAGGGTGTCACGCACAGCCTCGTCGGTCCGGTGGTTGCCGCAGTATCTTCGGGCCAGTCAGAAGCCTTACGACGTGTATCCTGAACGACGATGCAGGAATGAGTCCGTGAACTGTCCCCAGGCGGCATAATTCTTCGAAGAAGAAGAACCGGCGGCACAGATGCTTCGAGGCAAAGCATCCCGAGTTGAGTGGCTGAAGCCTGAGGCTGGTCTGTGGCTCGTCTGAGGCTGGCTTGTGGCTCAGAAGCGATATCTGATCAAGTATCGAGGCTGACGTCACATAGCGTTCTGCCGACTTCCACTTCTTCTGCTCTTCATTTCCTTCCCCATCACCAACACCACCACAACCATCATCATCATCATCATCAGGATTCGCTCGAACCCGGTATGATCCTCCAGCTGGCGACGGCCAGTCATTCGATAGCCACTCAAAACAACGTCGTATCGCGTCGTGCCAGCGCGGCGACACCAATCCTGTTGCAGCAATGTCGCGTGCGGCGCACCACCATCGACCACACAGACGAATGACGGGCAAACGGGTGAGGTCATTGCCTGGGCTTCCCTGTCGGCCAACGGGCCAATCATCATGAACATCCCGATGCCGTTCCTGGATGGATCCAGTCCCATTCAGAGCTTCCACCCATGTCGCCGCGATGGGTACAGCCGTCGAGCCTTGACCGTCTGTCCCCTGACGGCCCCTCCCCGTGTCACATTGCCAACTTTTGCTCCGGTCTTGCCTCCCTGGCGAGCCCCCCCAATCGGGACCAAGCTTCCCGACGCCGGCCCTCAGAAATGGGTGAAGTGAGAGGCTTCCTTGGTCCTCCTTGGCCACCTCACCCTGGCATCGGCGAACAAGCGTCCGTCCTTTCTTGGCCGATACCAAGCCCTGTGTTCTCACCCATCCCCAGTTCCCTAGAGCTGCGGAAACTGGTCGGCAATGTGCTGGTCTGGGGAGATCTTGACTGTTTGAAGGACCCTGGTTTGGTGTCTTCTGGTCGGGCCTTGCTGGACAAAGTTGTCCGCGACCTGGCGATTTCCCCTAAATGGATCGCCTCTTCTCCCGTTTCCTGGCACCTGGTGTCTTTTTCACATTTTGCTCGCTTTATTGTCGTGATGGTCGTTAATTCTGGCTGTCCACCTTATACTCCAGCTCCTCCCCCCTCCTCTTCATCTCGTATCCTCTCGGAGATTTCTTTGATACGACATTGCTCCCGCCAAACTAAGACCACAGACGCCCCCAGACTGTGTGACAACCCCTACCGCATTCGCCCCCTTCTCCTCACCTCCCCCAGTATTGCGACATCATAGGCCGTCCTGCACTGCAGACCTGCCTGCTGCTCCTCCAGCCTGTTCCCTTCTGCGAGGTCGACGTCAGCGCACCTCAGTGCACCCCAGCGCCCGCTCTGCCGGGAACGCCTTTCGTATCTGCCCGCCGCCGCCATGTCGTTCGCAGGGCTCCTACCATCATCACCCTCACCACATAGCCCAGGGCCTTCGTCTCCGAGCTTTCACACCTCGCGACCGAGATTCAATTCCCAACTGACCTCTGATCGCCTACGCGAAGCTTCCATCATGCCGGCCTCCATGGTTGGCAACATAAACAAGGGCCGCCAGTCCGTGTTCAAGGAGGTCGGGCTTGATGACGACCTAAGCGATGACGGCTCGCAAGCGGGTCCGACCTCGCCGAGGGCCGACCGGAAAGCCTCCCTCGTCAGCGAAAGAGAATTCGGTGCCATCACATCGCTGCCGACGAAGCGACAGCGAGACGACGACGTGCATGATGCTGGCCGGCAAAGTGACCGTGATACCGGTGGGCAGTCGCACGACGAAAATGAGGACGGTCGCGACGAAGACAACGAAACCAAACACGAGGACCAGCAATCCTCACGTCCGGAACGCCGCCGATCGTGGTATACCAAGCTAGCAGCCGGCTACAAGAGGCCTCGCATCAAGGCGGTGGCGACGGCACCTCCGTCCTCGGTTTCCAGTCTGCAGCGATTCACCGTCATTGCACTCCTCATTGCCGTTGTCTTTCCCGCTTTCAATTATCGCAGTGGTTCGAAGAAAATTGAGGTCGGCGTTGAGGCCGGCGTCATTCAGACCAGACAGACCAGCCCAACTGATGTCTGCACCCGATGGGCGCATCAAGGCAAGTGTCCCGTGTCATATATGCCATCCTAGACTGACATGACCAGCCGCTCAAATCAATGGAACGCTGTACATATATGGCGGGCAGGCCAAAACTCGCGGTGATCAGGAGTTCAACACGTGGAGTAAGACACGCCACACCATACAAGCCTGCCTATTCATCTCCGCTGACCATATCGTAGACAAGAACTTTCTGACGCTGGACTTGCAAAATTCCTGGGGCATTGACGAGCCGAAACTGACTGGGCTTGAGATCCCTGATGGACCCCCAGCCGTCTCTCTCGGCTACCTCTGGCAGGACTACGATAACTTGTATCTCTACGGCGGACAATTTGCCGACAACGTCGACGATGGCAGCGGCGAGCCTCAGTATGCGACACCCGACCCAATGGCACTGTGGCGATACGACATCAAGAACAAGGAATGGTCCAGCTTTGACGACCCTCGCACGTCGGCGGGCAACTACTCGACGCAGAGCGACATTCCCGTCCAGCGAGCCGCCGAAGGTGCTGGTCTGTCTGTTCCTGAGCTTGGGCTGAGCTGGTATTTTGGAGGCCATCTGGACGTGGCTACGACCCGCGGCTGGTCGATTCAGATTGCCCGTCTCTTCCTCAGCAGTCTGCTCGAATGGACGCACCCTGGTTTCGCCAACACTGGCGTCGACACGTTGCACAGCTCCGGCGCTGGCGAAGGCGGCACCTACCGAAACATCACCGAGGGCGGCACCCAGGGGGGCGAAAACTTTCCCGAGCGGGCCGATGCCGTCCTCATCTTCGTGCCCGGCTGGGGCAAGCGCGGTGTTTTGATCGGCCTCGGCGGGGGTGCCAACGAACAACTCACTGAGAACATGGAAAAGCTGGATGTGTATGATATTGAGACCTCCGAGTGGTACAAACAGGAGACTTCTGGTGATAAGCCGCCAGTTCGAGTCAATCCATGTGCCGTCGTGGCCAGCGCGCCGGACGCGTCCAGCTTTCAGATCTACCTCTTTGGAGGTCAGGATCTGGCTACTGTGAGTATCGCAGTGACTTGACCATAGACCAAGGATACTAACAGCACCAGGACAATCAAACCCAATACAACGACATGTACATCCTAACCATTCCCGCCTTCCACTGGATCCGTGTCGACAATGGCGACTCGTCCTCCGTCCCCGCCCCTCGAGCAGGCCACACGTGTACAATGCGCGACGGTCAGATGATTCTCGTCGGTGGCTATGTCGGCGAAGATATTTCATGTGACTCGCCCGGCATCTATGTCTTCAACGCCTCCTCTCTGCAGTGGGCCGATAAATTCAACGCCGGCGATCACGATGCCGACATAAGCTCGGACAATTTGGTCCTGGCCAACTCATGGGGCTACCGCGTCCCCGAGCCCGTTCAGAAGGTTATTGGTGGCAACGCGGACGGCAGCGCGACTCTCACCACGCCCTCCAGCGGACCGGCCACTGATGGACCTTTCGCAACAGGCAAGCCTCCCGTCTTCACGATCACCGAGAGCGGCGCCACGGCAACTATTACGCAACCTGCTCCGGGTGCCACAGGCGGCAGCGCCAACACGCCCAGCGAGGGCGACAATAGCGGAGACGACGGTGGGGGTAACTCGAACGCTGGACTCATTGCCGCCGGCATTATTGCAGGCATCTTTGCCCTGCTGGCCGCGTACCTCGGCTGGTGCGCGTGGCTGTACCGCCGCCAGGTCGCCGCCTACAAGCAGCACCTCGCCGTGGCGAACCGTTACCATGGGGCCTCGAACGCGTCATTTGGACTCGGCGGCGGAGCGTTCGGCGGCCTCCTGGGCCGTGGCCGATCGGGCCGCGGCCACAACCGCGACACGAGCACCGCGAGCGATGAGAGCTTCGGCTGGGTCGGTCCAGGCAAGGAACCCAAGTGGATGCCGGACGAGCTCACGCCCGGCTCGAACAGCGGAACCACGGCTGGAGGGAGCAGCAGCGCGGCGGGCGGATTTGCGCGCAAGAGCGAGGATGTCAGAAGCGGACGCACGGGCGACGGGACGAGCCGCGGGGCGCAGACTGATCGCGACAGCATCTCGAGCACAGAGGCCCTGTTGGAGGGGCAGGAGCCGAGTTTCTTCTCCGTCGTCATGGGGCCGAGGAGGGCTCTGCGGGTTGTTAATGGAGCTGAGGATACCCGGTAGATACGTGTTTTACGAGACATGAGCACACGACTTGGCGAGGCTTTCTAGGTGGAATAAGGCTATGAGAGCGTGTTCAGCGACGAGGTGCCTTTGTTCGATACCCTTTCTTCTCGTGCAGCATACAGAGCAATTGAGCATTTACATGACCAATCAGTCTTATCGATACCATTGGCATCATATCTCAGAGACTTGGGTGTGGATTCGGGCAGACATGCGTTGTCAGACATCGATGCTACTCATTGACAGCTACTCAACGACAACTCAGCGACCAGTTTGTCAACGAGGGAAAGCTCACGAGACTTTTCGTGCGACGATCATGTGTATATGTGTAATCATTGGCGCTGATGTCTAGGTTTGCTGCCATGAACGGTGGTCCTCTGCTGGACACCAGTCTGCACTGTGAATGACAAGTATCATATCGCTAACGGATACATGATCAACTAACAAATATTTGCGTCTTTTTGAATTGAAGGGCGGGTACAATGTAAAATAAGGGCTGTGACTCCTCCACTATTGCCTACGATGGTTTTTTTTGGTGACACACTCTTCCACAATTGCACCCTCCCTCCCGACCGGTTCTTTTCCAAGAGCCAAACTCTGGAAGTGCATCTGCTACGCATCTTGGGCCCCTTCACTGCAAAGCTGAACAGATTTAACACTAAACGATCAGCTATCGCACACTGATATTGTGCAACTTTGGTCATGAGACACTGAGCTAGAGAGGATAGGACAAAGGGCTTACTGTTTCCGAGGTCCGGAGCGAGTATCGCCGCCACACTTCTCGTCAAGACATCCAACTTCCCAGGCCGAGATCACTAGTTAGGCCCCTCGATACGGGGGAGGTCGATACGGGACATGAGGTCGTCGGTGCACACCGGGTCCTGAAGACAAGCCATCACTGCCTCGAGACCAATCGGATCGACCTGCCTCTTCGTCATCTCTCCAGCGGCGGCGGCGGCCTGGGCACCCTGGCGGCCGATGAGCTTCGTGGCGCACTCCGGCTTGGCGAGGCAAGAGGTCACGGACGCGAGATCAAGGGGAATGTTTTGCCTCTTGCTCTTCTCGGCGCCATCGATCAGCTTGTCGATTTGCTCAAACAGGTCCTTGCGGCACTTGGCCGTGGCAAGGCACGTCTGCACGTTTCCGATGTTGTCCAAGATCTCCTTCGTGCTCTCGGGCTCCAGGACCTGGCCCGGGATCTTGAGCTTGTCGAGCTTCTTCGCGCAGGCAGGGTTGTTGCTGCAAGTCAACAGCTTGTCCTGAAACTTCTGAAAGTCGTCCACCTCCTGCCTCTTGGTCTTGCCGAGGGGAGCCGTGGGAGACGAGAGGGCGCCTTGCTGGAGCTTCTTGATGCATTCGGGGTTGCTGATGCAGGTGAATAGTTGGGCCTGAAGATCCGTGAGCTGCACCTTCTCGGCGCTGTCAATGCCGACGTTTTCGAGCCCTGGCGCCGCCTGTCGTTAGCAGCTGTGTGACGCGGAGCGTGATTTTGATGTTGGAGCTTACCTAGGTTGCCCTCGGTCAAGGGGGCAGCGATGGCCAGAGAGGCGACAGAGGCTGCGAGAATGGCGGAGACCTTCATGTTGAAGAACGGCTGTCTGCGATTGTGTACGTGCGAATGTCGGTGACGATCTGGTAGTCGGGCTGAGGCGTGGATTTCGAAAGGCGGTTGATGACCAAACTACCAACCCAGAGTAGCATGAATGGGGCATTATATATCCATCGTGACGACGTATCCGAACCAGAGCAAAGCATTACTCTCGGCCGCACTGAACGTCATACCTGGTACTGCAGAAGCAATGAGGCAGGGCGTCTTTGCTGCGACGCAAAACGACTGGCACGTAGATTACGCCAATTACGGTAGCGACGTACGAGGGGGCGTGACCAGAACCTACATGCCGATGAGAGCGACCTGTCTCTCGGAATCCCGGCGGTTTGTCTCGGCACTCATCATTCAATGTTGCGATGCCGAGCCGCGCAACACGAAGGACTCGAATCATTGGTGCACGAAGGGTAGGTAAGGCTATGATGGACTTCATGTACACCACAACACCAGGGTCATCGGAGCTTCTGACCCCAACAGCAGTTGCTAGACCAGGTAGCACTTCAATCTGCACGGTCTTGGTCTCGTATCGCACATGTCTTGTTGAGATTCCTCCCCTGAGCTGTCGCAGGCCATTGTGCCGGGGCAGAGGGAGGGTCAGAGCTCGGGGTGTGGATGAGACAGGTGGACCCACGGGCCGAAGAGGATCAGGAACGGGCCGCCTTACTGGTCTATATTTTGCAATACTCCGGGCTCGTGTTGGAGCGACGCGGCTGGCAGATTGGGTATTCTCATCAAAATGTCTAGGTGATGTCTGATGAATGAACGTTGGTTGCCTTGATCGCGGGGATAGGCATTCTTCAAGACGCAAAGCTGCCTACTTCCTTGCACAACTCGAATTCCTGCTCAAAACGAGATCGGTGAAGAGCGACAGTCACATAGAGTTGACCTGTCGGATTGTTTCGGGGGTCTTATCGTCTCGTCTTCTCTTACAGCAGTGACCAGTCATGGCCGTCACAGGAGTGCATCCTGCCTCCGTCAGCGGCAAACTCTAACGGGAGCAGGGAATGCTGGAATCACCGTGTACATAGCATAGTCGCGAAGGTCGCCAGCGCTTTCGTCTTCTGGCTCATATCAAGGTTTCCTTGCGTGAAACAATATCATCATCACCCAAGATATCACAGGATAAACTGAATGAAGTACCCGCCTGGCGCGATGACTATTGTCGGGGGGAATGAAGACCACACGCACAACTCAACATGACATGGCGGCTTCAGACGAAAAACCTCCTAGTCTTTCTGATACAACTGCGCTGACGGTCTCGGCCCCATCGATACAATCTGTAGATGAGTCCTCCTTCAAGATGTAGAGAATGCCCTTTCGTAGTGGCGCGTAAACCTTTCTTCAATTTCGAACTTGAGAAGCGCAAGCTCAGCCGGCAAAGCAGTCCAGAAGAACGATACAGTAGCAGGGATCCTCAACCTCTATCTTGTGCCAAACAGTCATGAATTGCGGGAGGTCCCAAAACTAGGTATTCAGAGGATCGAGCCCGGTATAGCATTGAAGCCATCCCTTGCGTGACGGTGGAGGCTATTTGAACAGGAATATTGACTAACTTGACAGGTACCACAATTAACATCAAGGCTAGTGTCAGTGGGACCTTAAATCCTGGAGTCAGAAATAGCTGTCACCAAGTTGGTATATCTGCTTCGAGACAAAACCGATGTCGTGAACCACGTTAGCATGGCCAGTATAACAGGTCACTAGAGGTGTCTTGTGACAACTCAGTCAGTTCATAGTCCATGTACTTCCAATAACGGGGAGCTTAAGATATTCCAATGTGAGCCTCCCGAGCTACGCAAATATGGACCCTAGTTGTTCGTGAAGTTTGTCGGCAAGATCTATTTCTTCAGGGTGCAAATGGAAGAGGGGCCTTATTTCACATTAGCTGATTGGCAGCTTAGCTTGCGTTTTCGTGTGAATCGCCGTCTTGTCGTCGCTGATCTGCAGTCAGAGCCCTCACCACAAAAATGCGAAGATCCCAAAGGTCATGCTGTGTTTGGTGTTTCAAAGCGGCTATAGCAACGATCCTTCACTGGTCCCACAACGGCGATGCGAGGGAAGTCTCAAGGGCACACGTGCGTAGACCGCTGCCCAGTTGGGTGGGATCCTCAACCCCACCACCAGGCAGTTCAAGCTGCAACATTCTACTCACCACCCTGATTATCCAACTAGCAGCGCAACACATCCGGAAGGAGTCATTCATTCGATCTGTGATATCAATTTGCCATGGCAGTCCAGCTCCCTAGCCGAATAACATTTGAAGGCCCCGATACGGTCCGCAAATGGGGCGACGCGGTGCGACTTCGCAGGGAAGTGGAAGCCATGACCTTCGTCCAGCGCGAGACCTCCGTCCCTGTCCCTACGATCCTCGAAGTTTATTTTGATGATCACTCTAATGAAGACAAATGCTGGATTCTCATGGAACGATTGCCAGGATCTCAACTCGGCACGGCGTGGCCTGAGATGGACGACGACGCACGTTCAGAAACAATCAGGCAACTCAGGTCGTACCTGGAACAGCTCCATCACCTTCGTCCCGCTGGTGCCGGGGTCATCGGATCCGTTTCAGGGGGCGCGGCCTTTGACCATCGACTGAGCAATATGCATACGTGCGGGCCTTTTGCTTCCGTTGCTTCCTTTCACGACTTCCTCGTCGCCCCTGTCAAACAATCACCACGTCCCGGAACATTCGCGAAGTACAGGGCGCAATTCCCCGATACGTACGAGATACGATTCGCCCATGCAGATCTTTCGTGGGAGAACATCCTCGTGGACGCATCAACTGGAAAGATCACCGGTATTTTGGACTGGGAGATGGCCGGGTACTGGCCGGAATGGTGGGAATACAGGAAAGCATTGTTCGGTTCGCGAAGTCAGCCGTGGTGGATCCGAGTACTCAACCAAGTCATGACGGAGTACACACGAGAAACAGAACTTGATATGGATGTAGAGATGTTCTAGATCGGCATTGAACATCGCAGGGCCCCGCGGCTCATAATCGTACGACACGTCTCGCGACACAATGGCACAACAAGCATGATTTCTGTAAGTGAAGTTCTGCAACACATGCATGCAATTCACAAAGGGGACTACCCACTCAATCTTCTCTGAGAACACTTTCTTTGTCAAACCCCAAGTCTATTGACGAGTTGACGAGGGGAGCTAAAACAAGATACCCAGTGCAACTGATCCAACCTCCTACAGCTTCAGCGTCCAACTCCAGCCCAACCCGGTTATCAAACCACGAGCCTCTCAAAATCCTAGCACAACATCACCCTTCCGCCCTTAAACGGAAAGGATAGGCTCGCCACACCAGAGGGTGATGCAAACACCACGAGGGGCGCTGCAGATACCGCAGCTCTCGTTGCAGCAGACGAGGCCGGCGCCGCACTTGTTGGGGCCGCACTGCACACCGGCCTCGAGTCCGGGAGCAGCCATGGCAAAGGTGATCTTCTCGGTAGACGGGGTGGTGGCGGGGGCTTCGTCACGGGCCGCCATGTCAGCAGGGCGGGCGACGGCACCCAGGGCGACGGCGGCCAGGACAGCGAGGGTCTTGAAAGAAAGCATGTTTCCGGTTGATTGAGTGAGATTTAGCAAAGTTTGTGTGAAGATGTTGATGTTGATGGCTAGTCTTATGAGAGGTCGTGTGTGAGGGTCATCGAAAAGTGGTGTCGAAGATCGGGACACCATGTTGTCTTTATACCATTCTCTCGCCCGGGGACCAAGCATGTTGTTCTCGAATCAAGAAGACCAAGCATGTTCATCTCGTATAGTTCCCTACACAATCCGTTCTCAAACACTTGGTACGTGACAATACGCGAGTTGGTTCGGGGGTTCCCTTGCCCCAGAGAGTATGTGAGTCGGCGCTCAATTGGCCAACCAAAGACAAAGATCATCTTGACCAGAGGCGTGAGCACCAGTAAGTGGCCGGCTGACATGCGGGGGAAGGCAACATAAGGCCCGACTGGCCGGCAGGATCACAACGAAGTTGCATCGTCCCATAGGCCAAGTAATCCATCGCGTGCCCCCTCGTGGAGACAGAGTTCAGCACCGTCCGCTGCGGCCTGGCCGCGAACGGAAGAGATACGGGGGGCATAGGGGGGGGTAGACAGCCGCAACGATCACAACATGCCGTCAGCCAAGCGGCTGAATCACGATTCGCCGGTCTCACACTCATCGCGTGTCCGCGTATGAATGTTCCGGTCATTATCATCTCGTCAACGGCCGCATTCGACCGAGTAAGCAATTATCTGCTGACCCGATCTGCGGAGCTGAAGGATCGGGGCATCCTTGCTGCTCATGTCTGGCTGAGTGGCTTTCAAGATGGGTCGAACGCCTTTCGACAGCTCTCATTTACCCGCGAACGAGGCTGTAAGATTCGAAAATGCGGTCCATGATGCGGCTGGGCGTAACCGACCAGCGGCCGCCGATCCCGCTCCAGGGATGTGCTGCAGCAATCATGCCACCGAATGGAGTCGAACATGGCCAAAGTTCTTTTGACGGCAATGCCCCAATTCAGGTTCATTTCACATCCTCGCATTGCAATGAAAATCGGCGCTGTTACAGCAAAAGCTGCATTGGCTGGCTCTGTTGCTTCATTCGGGTTAGCATGGGTCCTGTGACTCGGCAGCTCCAGCTAAAGACGGGGCAGACGAGACGCTGAAAAGCGCAGAGGCGAACTGAACGATTGACTGGCCACGAAATCGGCCTACTTTCCGCTCCGCAAGGCTGCTCATGCTCAATCTGTGGAAGAGACATTTGGGAGCGCTGCGGAACAGAAGGCTCAGGAAGCTTTTCATGTACATAACCGCCAAGGCATAAACATCGAGCTACAGGTAGCCTTCTAATCTATACCCGGCGATGAACTGCGGAACCGACCTGCAAAAGACCTCTTCATTCTGTTCATCAACCCGCTTTGATGCTATGAAGTGCCCTACAAGGAGACTGGCATCGCCGAGCATCATGCGTCACCGGCCGACAAGATTCAAGGTAGGAAATGAGATGCTACCTTCCATGAAATACACGTTAATACTCGAAGGTTGATGAAATGAACGCTTGTGATTACGACGAAGACTATCCAAGATACCACATTTCAATGATCATCAAAACCATGATCATCAGTCATCCCACGTTTCTCATTACAAAACGTATCCACCAGCGAGCACGGATCCAGCCGCGCCAATTATGCTTTCGCGTCACCTTCTGGCCTAAACACCTCCGTAACGAACTCCCCTCTTGCCCAGTTCCTTCCTGCCCACAGCATCCTCAGGCCAGACCCATCCTCTCGCCCTCTTGGCCTCTCTCTTCTCTGCCAGCTGCGGCGTCGGCATCCACGAGTCCCTCGCAAGGGCCTTGCGTCTCGTGCCCTCGGCCGGAGCCCCAATTTCAGCCTTCCAGGCACCAGCAGCATCACCAGCCATGACGCAAAGGCCCCAGAGCGCGAGGCAGGCCGTCAGGTCACTCTCGCCATCACCGCCGGCGAGCGGCACGGCACAGACCTCGAGGAAGCCAAAGTGGGGCGTGCGCTCGTTGCCGTTACGCACGATGACGAGCTCAATCTCGGTCATGATGAAGCCGTAGCGGGTGCCGTGGGCGCGCATGGCGTGGTGGATGGCGGCGAGGCCGCGGAGGTACTCGACGCGGGCGACGGGACCGGCAGAGCGCATGCCCGTGTTGAAGCGGTCGAAAGCGCGGACGAGACCGACGGCGCGGGCGGTGGGGTTGCCGCCAAAGATGGCGGCGGCGGAGGTGGCGTCTGTGGAGCAAGTCGCAAGGAAAAGTGGCTCGGCGTTGGCGCTGGTCGCTGACGTCTTGGGGGCCAGAGAGAGGCTCAGAGGCGTCGTCGAGGAGAGGGCGAGCGCCGCGTTGAGGCGGGGGAGGTAGTGAGCTGCGTAGATAGCGTGAAGCGCCGACTCCGTCTCAGGGTGGCGGGCAGCAGCAGCCGGCATGGGCAGCAGGGGCGCGGGGACGGGGCAATGAAGAAGTGTTGCCGCGCCAGGCAGAGACAGGATGGTCTCCAAATTGAAGGACGACCAAGGGCGGACTTGACGAACGTCCCACCAGAAGTTCTTGGCTTGGGGATCGCGCATGGGGAAGGAAACAGTGCGGACCAGGGAGGGCGCCGGGTTGGAAGCTGTGAGATACTCGTGAAGAGTCGTCGTGGCCACAGGGTCGGGTGTTGACGACACACTCAGAGGGGAGGGGGCCCGAGGCACGTAGGAGGCAAAGTTGAACGCATCCACTGGCGGCTGCTGCTGCTGCTGCTGCTGAACAGGTGCAGGAAGCGGCGCCTGGATGTATGATGGCATCTGGCGATACGTCGGGAAGCCAAACTTTTCAATGGCCGTGTCATCGAGGTTGCAGGTGGAAGCACGGCGGGAAGAAAAGTCAAACTCGTCATCTTCGGCAAAGGCAACAGGCGAACAGAGCAGCGAAGTATTCATGTCGTCAGCCTGAGGGTAGAAGGGCATGCCCCACGAGATAGTCTCGGGGTTGGTGAAGCTGCGAGCATGGGAAGGGCGGAAGGCGGCGGAGGCAGAAGCACGCTTGGGCATGGCACGAGCCGGCGGTGAGGCCGTCTTCTGGCGCTTGGCGGGGGACTGGGCGAGGGCCTGGTCCTGGGAGCGGATCTTGGGCAGCAGGATGGGCCCGCGGTGGTGGACCGGCGGCGAGGCACGGCTGGGGGTGCTCATGCGGGTGCTGGCCGTGTCGGCGATGGAGTCGGCATTGGAGGCCATGGAGTAGACGGAGCCGCGGGAGCTGGAGCGACCATGGCCAGCATTGAAGGGGATGTCGAGGAGAGAAGGGTCGAAGGAGAAGTTGGCGGGGATCTCGCACGAGGGATAGGCGAAATCAAAGGCCATGTCGGCTGCCAGACTGCTTCGTGTTAGTGAGAGGGCCCCTCCTTGAGACGTGTATGAGGAGCTCGTACGTGGACATGGTTGCGGGTGGCGGGGATCTGTCACAGACAGAGGACAATATTAGTGGTTGGGAAGGCTGCGAAGAGGGAGACCAGCTCCTGCGTCGTGTCGAGTTGCTCTCGAGTTTGAGAGGTTGTTGAGAGTGAGGGGCGGACAGGGTGAGTGCCGTGAAGCAGAGGCCGGCCGCGTCCAGGACGACCGTTGAGATCTATGTCTTTTTTGGATACACAAGGAAACAAGGAAGGAAAGCGATTGGGAAAGAGAGGGAAGACGAGGGGCAATGCTGGAAGGTCGAGGAGTGCTGATGAGACGAGTGGTCGTGAGGAAGAGAAGGAGGGGGCTGCGAGGTCCTTTATGATGGCAGGACGACTGGAGCCCAATGGATGGTGATGCGGCGCGAAAGGGTCGGCGGCGGGCCTCTGCTCTGGGGTCCACGGTTCGTTCCCACGGTGGACAGGGTTGCCGCAGGCTCCGTGTCTTTTGCCTTTTGGTGCCATGTCGGCAGAGAAAGGGCTGTTCGACTGAAGACAATGACCGCATCGGGCTCAGGCTGGGCCTGCGTCTGGGTCTCGACCATGAGACACGACAGGGCTTGGAGCCGGGGTGTGCATCTGAAACACGACGGGTTCTTTTCGATCGGGAGAGGATGAGGGAGACAGGGCGAGAGGCTTGCAGGGCGGTTGAGGGATGGGATGGCGGAGCGGTTGATGGGTTTGATAGTGGCATGTGGGAGAATGGAGGAGAATGGACGTGGAGGTTTGACGATGGGAGTAGACATGGCGGACTGTGCTGTGCAGCGGGAAGGCACGCCCGAATACAGTGCAGACTCGGGGCTTCAGACACTGTTGTAGCCTTGTACCCTCGATCCGGGGTTCCTTCCCCTGTACCACCCGCTTCTCCCCTCCCACTGGCCAGCGCTCGATGCAGGCAGGTATGCAGCTATCCTGCAGGCGTCTCTGACTCATTTTTAGACACCAAGACATGCCATGACACCTTGACACCACGACACCGAGGGCTCCAGCTTCGTACAGCTCTAGCGTGGCACCGACAAGGCCAGTAGAAGGGAGCCGGTGGTAGATGCGGTGCTGGTGTTGTCTGGTCGCGCGCGCTGTTGCCCGGGGCGCTCAGTCAACAGTCGCGACGACCGCGAAGCCATCACCAAACCCCAAACAGGCAACACGCGTCCCTGGGCGTTGCGATGCCGGTTCCCAGTATCACGCTGCGCCCTCGAAAACCTTCTGCTTTGCTTCTCTGGTTTCCTGTCTCTCTACTGTTTTACAGTGGGCCTTGACCTGAACCACACCCGCCTACACCTGCTTGGCCAGCCAGCTGACTACCGTAGTCGCCTCACCACCAGTATGCCTTCTATTTCGGTCATCTCGTATACACCCGTCCAGCAGACAGACGCCTGCTGAGGCCGAGCAGGTGCCCGTACACACAGAGGGCAATTTCAGAAAGCGAGCGGCTGCCGAAATGAACATCGACCACTCACCCCCTCCAGATGATGAGCCCCCAGACCCGTTCGGCTCCTCGCCCATCCTTCCCGCCCTCCGTAACCGCCGGCGCCTAGAAAAACCTGTCGTCGAGGACGGCGCTTACACCAGACGAAGCCGCCCTCACGCCAGCTTCAGGCCCGCCGGCTGTGCCCTCCTCCGCTGTCGCCTGCCAGGGCTGGCAATCAGGTGTTACCAGACCAGGCAGAGGCCCAAGGAGCCGCTTGCCGCTGGAGAGGGGGGGGGGGGGGAGAGGGGGCCGCTGTGAGGTTGCCCG